GAGATAGAAAGATCAATGCAGGACAGAGACTGAGTGCGAGAATCAAAATGGGTAAGAGCACCCATATTTAAAACATTAAGAGGATGAGAAGCGAGAAGAGTCTCCAACTGATCACGAGTGTTTTCCCTTCCCACATGTGATGTTGGGTAATTTTAATGCTCACCAAGATGGGTGGCAGTAGAGAAGAAATTAAAAATGTGATATCAGAGATACAGAGTGCACAGAAGGGAGAAAGAGAGAGCAAACTGCAATGTGTAAATAAATACAAGCTTCAGTATAATGCAGCGAGGAACGAACAAAAACTTGTTGATATGGTGTATCAACGCACACAAGAAGTGCGCTTTCAATAAATGATTCGTCTGGTAAAGGATCGGAAGAATGTAACAGCACATAGCCTGAAACAGGGTGAATTACAGCAGAACGAATTTTGGGCTCTTGCAACCCAACACGTACTGGGGACAACTGGGAAAGCAACACTTGGAGTTCCCCTCGATTCCCCCTAAGGCCACGAATATTCCATTATAAAAAAGACACTATGTACAGAAATAAAAATGGCAACAATAAGAAACGATAAAACCTATGGGCTTTTAGGATCTGTAAAGTCAACGTGTGGGGGTAATGGTAAGCAAGGAAGAATTAGAATGTTGCAGAGGAATAGATTGTGGCAAGGGTGGTGAAATAGAAGGGGTAGAAGGAGGCTCGTTGGTGTCCATTGGGGGTGTAGTCTCCGCATTATAGCTGAAGATAGCATCTAATGTCTCAGTTGTTAAGGAAGCCAACGATACCATGATGTCAAGAGATAGGAGAGGCATTGCAAGTAAAGGTCAGAGTAACTATGGAGGCAACCAAAGAGGTCTGAGGGGGGTGGGGAAGTATGAACCTGGAGAGATGTGTCAGCTGGGGTAGAAGTCCTGCAGTGTAACAGGAGAGGAGGAGGAGGTTGGAGGGTAACTATGGAGAAAGATAGGGGGGAACTACACTAGGGGGGGGAACTACACTAGGGAGGTGAACCTCCACCTTTATGCGAGAGCTGGAAATGGGGTGAGAACTAGGCTCTAAGGCAGAAGATAGATTCTGTACAGGCGATGGGCACGAAGAAAGTGTAGGTCTGCGAGGTCTCAGACTGAGAAGCAAGTGAGCGAGATGAAGGCGGAGGTAGGAGTGTCAGAGAAAACTGCAAAAGAATTAGAAACTGTGGTGACCCCAGAAGACACAGATGCAGAGGGTTTGGGAGGCGGGAGGACCGTCGAGGTTAGAGGTCTTCGGGCTACTCGAGCATACGGGACACGAGGAAGCTTTCCTTGAAGGCGGAGCTGAGAGAGAGCCAGAGTGCAAGGCCCTCACACTCCTTAGGATAATGGATCTCTAGACCTGGCAACGGTGTGAAATGGAAGGATGAGGTTCCTTGCAATTGAGACTAGAGGGAGGAAGATTACAAGACGTATTGGAATAATCTGCTGCACCACAGACTGGGCATTCTGCCGCCGATCTGCAGTGTTTAGCGGGATGCCCAAAATGCCAGCAATTACGACCCTGTTTGGGAGTGGGAACTACTTGACAGACCTCTAGGCAATGGCCCGCAACAGAGACAGAGGTCGGAAGTTCATGGCAGTCGAAGGTTAAATGAGCAATGTTACTAGAAAAATGCCTCTGCCCACAAGCAGGCAGGATGTACATATCTACCTTAAGAATAGGGAGGTTCTGAAGGGCTAATTATTCTAAAATATCATCGCTGCAAGACAAAAAATCACTCTGTACAATGGTACACGGTAAGACCACAGTACCACTGCAAGAATTAATAGTGTGCTTACAAACGGTTATGTATGGAAGTGATGCAGAAGAGAGCATGAGCTTGTTCTGAATTTTGTATTGTTACAACACTTGCACCACTTCGAAGTGTGTGGAAGGATATACAGTGGACCCCTGCATAGCGAACTTAATCCGTGCAAGAGGGCTGGCCGTTATGCGAAATGTTCGCTATGCGAATTAATTTTCCCCATAAGAAATAATGGAAATAAAATTAATCCGTGCAAGACACCCAAAAGTATGAAAAAAAAAATTTTACCACATGAAATAGACATTTTCCTACACACAAAGAGAAGGATACATGCACAAAAGTAGAGTAGTACATGCACAATATATATTGTGCATGTACTACTCTACTAAATGAAGAATAAATGACACTTACCTTTATTGAAGATGCAGCAATGACTGATGAGACACTGTGTCCTGGGAGTGCCTTTTCCTCCTGAGTACTGTAGGTCCTGTTTGGTATTTTCTTCCAGAACAGGCCTTATCACACTGTGTATGTCACTACGATTCTTAAATCTCTCAAACCAACCTTTGCTGGCTCTAAATTCACCAATATGAGCACTAGTTCCAGGCATTTTCCCTGTTCACCTGGGTGTTAGTCGACTGATGTGGGTTGCATCCTGGGAGACAAGATTAAGGACCCCAATGGAAATAAGTTAGACAGTCTTCGATGACACTGACTTTTTTGGGTTATCCTGGGTGGCAAATCCTCTGGGGTTAATTGTTTCTTGGTATTCTCAATAAGCCACACCAACAACGGTGGTACAGCAGCAGCAGCAGCAGACGATGCTACAGCAGCAGCAGCAGACGATGCTACAGCAGCAGCAGCAGCAGACGATGCTACAGCAGCAGCAGCAGCAGCAGACGATGCTACAGCAGCAGCAGCAGACGATGCTACAGCAGCAACTGACGATGTTACAGCACCAGCAGACGATGCTACAGCAGCAGCAGACGATGCTACAGCAGCAGCAGCAGCAGCAGCAGCAGCAGACGATGCTACAGCAGCAACTGACGATGTTACAGCACCAGCAGACGATGCTACAGCAGCAGCAAGCAGACGATGCTACAGCAGCAGCAGACGGTACTACAGCAAGCAGCTGACGGTGGTACAGCAGCAGCAGCAGCTGTACCACCAATAGTAGCGATGGTTGATTGGGGTTTATTATACAACCTGGCCAGCTCGGAGACAAGCACTCCACTTTCATACTTATCAATGATCTTTTTCTTCATCTCCAAGTAATTCTCACCCTTATTGCTGTAGGGTTGGCACTAGAAGCTATCTTGGGGCCCATGGTCACTTATTTTCCAGAAAAAAATCACCAAAAACACTAATAATACGAAATGTTCCGATTGTATGCTTGGATGTTACCGCGGAGGCTGGCTGGTAAACAATGCCACCGGCGGCACATGTGAGCGTGGCTCAGGCCGCACATTGGACGCGTCTCGGACGAAGGCCGCTGAGCGGGTTTTTGTCCACTATGCGGGGCAAAATTTTAGCGAACAAAGCGTCCGCTATGCGGATTGTTTGCTATGCAAGGCGTTCGCTATGCGGGGGTCCACTGTATTTTGGCCAATGTGCCGTAGAAGTGTTTTGCCAATTCCATGATCAGAAAGATAATCAGTTTGAGACGTCGTTTGTAAAGAAAATCATTTTGTCCACTGCACACTCACCAATCCAATACGCAAAGGTAGCGAGTGTTGAGCATGTTGTTTTAGAGCAATCGTCGACGAACTGTCATCAGTAGGTTGTAGTATCGTGGGCAGTCTAACCTGAGGGAGGTGGGCGATCCGTAAACCGTTGCACCATATTTGGGGAAGCCAGATGCATTGCAAAAGCCATGCCAGAAGTAGCAGCACGAACAGAAACGGGTGACACTGCAGCACCTGAAGCAGGTGACGAGGCGTCACCAGCAGAAGGTACAGGGGTATGAGAAGAGTCAAGAGAATGGACTGATAATGATGCCGGGTCAGAACAAGGCATGGGATCAGAAAGGGGTCTGGGAGGAGGAAGGGTTTTACTGGGCAAAGAGTCCATCATAAAGGTGCTTCTTCTGTGATATCTCCTATGTTATTTTAAGAAAAAAAAATGAAAGAAAAAAGAAGAGGGACAGTCACTAGGAGGCATGGAGGGACCAAAAGCTCCACCCTTCATGCAAAAGGGTCTTGAGCCCACAGGTAGTGAAGATGCATCGTGGAACCCATGCCATACCCTACCCTTCACGCCAGTAAACCAGTGCTCCAGGATAGCAGCCTCACATCTACTGAACTACCTCAGCGGACAACCTGCCACAAAGCATACCTCCTTCGGCTGCCACCTCCCAGAACCGACAGGCAGCTTCTGGAGATACACCCATTACCCAAAGGGCACCCCACCCACTTCCTGGAAATCCGGGAAGGGAGTAGGGCACCTTCAGACAATTCAGATTCCATGGCAAACCACACCACCCCAAGGGACTTCATGGAGTGGGATGAATCCCGGCACATCACCCCCTACCTAAAACCTGTAGTGCCAGAGGGAAGGACCCCCAGAGGCTACAAATGGGATGGGAAACAAAGGGAGGGTGGGGAGAGGGGAGGAAAGGGAAAAAAAGGGGGGGTATGGGGAGGGTGGGGTAGGGATGGGAGGAATGGTGGGTAATTAGGTTCAGTTGGGGGAAGTAGACCAAAAGGTCCAATTCCTCAGACCAAGAACCTCTTCACCACAAGGAGCCCCTCTTGAAGAGGAGCAGGAAAGGAAAAGAGGGATGGGTAAAGGAGGAATGGGAAATTAGAGATGGGAAGAATGGGACAGGGAAGGGGAGGATTGGTGTGTAATTGGCTTTGGTTGAAGGAAGACCAAAGGGTCCAATTCCTGACACCAATAGCCTCTTCGGCTCAGCAAGGAGCCCTCCCCCCCCCCCCTCTCTCAAAGAAACACTTAATGCTCTTGGTAATCCCAAACCATTTTCTGTCAACACACTGAATTCTTTGCAAATTCACACCACACTGTTCTCAAACATGACATCTTCACTGCCTTCAGCCTCCTTGCTGCATCATTTCAAGCCTATGCCTAACACCTAAAGTACTTCTACCACTAATTTGGTAGGTTATTAATCAAACCATTTAACATGCAAACAAGGTTTGTACTTGCTTCACACTGTCCATTCACAATCTAGAAGAAAACATTACAGGATATTAATGGATTTACCTTATTATACAAACTTTATTGACCACAATGACTTTCAGGAGACTGTTTCTTAAAAAAATTACTCCAAGTCATTTACCTTTAGTATAGGACTGGAAACCAATGGAATTTACCAGGGGATAATACTGTTGTAAAAGGAAATACAATGAAACACCACTAAACCGACACCCTAACTTCCAAATAGTTGGGTTTTTCAAGACTTTCTCCAGTTCTGAATCTGTAGGCTTTTGGTTCACATACCACTTTGTGGGGAGTATCAGCAAGGAAAGTTCAAAGGTGCAACACTGCACTTGAAGTATAGACAGGCATTAGTTCATCATATATTTCATAATTATCAAGATTCTTAATTTTACACCTGGTCTGAATGCTGATGACTAATAAAAAAAGAGAATGAAGTGTAAACGTTGTGAGGCAAAGTCAAGTGGTGTGGGAACATAGCATTATAAGGATGATCAATGCAGCAAGTCACTGTTATATTTAAAAATAAAGATGTAGCCATGAATGAGCTGCATAAATGCTACTTCTAAATATACCAAGAATAGTGTGAGCAAGACAAAGCAGGCAAGGATAAGAAATGCAAATGGAATGAACCAAAATCTTGGATGATACCCCATGACTGAGGTAAATAACACTGATGCTACTACACTGCATATCTAATAATTAGAATTATTTTGCTAGGATGAGCAATTACATAATGAATATACAGTTCGATATTTGTACCCCTCATGATACTTAAATCTACACCTATATGAAAATAGAAGAAAAAATATAAATTATTTGATTAACTATACAGCAAGGTGACAGCTTCTGCTACACTTTTCTGATCAGTAATTACTAACGTACATTATGCTGTAATTACGCAGTTCCCAGATTGTCTTGTAATCTATTAGTGATATTCACCACAAAGCACTAAACCCAGCCTTTTACCTTGGATGCTTAAATGTTCTTACACACCTATTAATAGCTGTACTTAAAAATTTGGAAGAACACATACTTTAGTGAGTGGTAAGAACAATTATTTTATTTTAAATTTATTTTTCAGAAAGTATATCTTGTATGTACACTAATTTTTCAGGACAACTGAAATTTACATATTTGAAAGTTTTTGGATCCAACATGTCTGGTTCAGCCATGTGCCACTGCATAAAAAAATATATCAAATTCAATGTACAGTAATGACACATTGGGTGAATTCAATGTTTGAGGATGTGCAATAAAAATTAATTTTCATTTTAACTGCTAAATGAAAAGATACAGATTGCAAAATACAAAATATTTTCCATCTTCACAATGTTCTCCTGACGTCACCGAGTACCAAAACAAAAGTATAAAGGGGTATTTATACAGTACAATAAATTGCTATGTCCACTGCCTATCATAAAAGCTAACTAAATAAAAGGCATATATTAAATTTGAAAAGTGCATACTGGAAGTCTTCTATGCCCTCAAAAACAGGACATCAATCTGCCTCAATGTGCAAATGTTCTTTAACAAAATCAACTTAAGTCTTAATTACTGATTTGTAACAAGATGTGCATAGTCTAAATGCAGCACTTCAAATATGGTGTTACAGTATATGCGATCACTTCTCTCAGAGCATTCTGAATTAAGCTAAACATCTTATTACAAACTGTAACTGTCTAATGCCACATTCACTCAAAATATGAAAGATGAAGATTTGAAATAAACTTACAATACAAAAAAAAAAAATTACATAGGTTTAGGAAATTGTATGCTAATGCATTCTAATCCTACACTGTTTGAATTTTAAACCTGACATACATATACCTGGTCATTGAAGAAACGGTGCTTATGATTCTAAGATGTAAATTTACAAAACAAATATTTTCAGGCTAGTAATATTAACAATTTGGTTTTCACTGGTATTCACTGAAACAAAATAGTAGTATCATTTCCAACATGTTACTCTTGTGCGAGCTTCCCCATCAAGTAGCACTTCATCAATGTCAGTTTAAGTGTATTCAATGTTCAACTGAGTAAAGTTCTTTTTAAGGTGATTTTTTTTTTTGTACAACTTTATGTGCTATTAATGCATGAGCACCATTTGCTCTTGCTAACTACATATGCATCACATCAAAATCCCCCTCATTCCAGCTTGTGCATTAATATTAAATATTATAATCAAAGCAAGTACTAAACCCAAGGGTTAAATTATAAAAAATCACTGTACTTTAAATATAAATGAAAAAAAATATATAAAACACAACCAAAATTACAAACCAACCAGTTGAACTATGCTAACACACAAGATATTTTGATTTAGTGACAGTGCTCATATGTTTCATGGAATCTGTTTAAACACTTGTGGTTATATTTTAAATCTTTTATAACCAAAAATAAAAATGACTGTTTCTTTACAGGTATAAAAAAAAAAAAAAAAAATTACAACTCCAACATTCTCATTCAAATACAGTCTTAATTTTATGGGAGTGTTAACACACACCAAGTGGCTCTTCTTGTTCAACTTTATACATTAGAAATTGATTCTTTCAAAGAATTATGCAAGTTCCATATAAATTAAAGAGCAATTAGGTCACCCCAAAAAAAAAATGAATGATAAAGCACTATGTTGCCAGCTGCTTTATTACAAGGGTGAGGCAGCACCAGGAAAAACTTGCAGTCGTTGTTCTAGGCTGGTAACTGGAGCTTCTTTCCTTGCAGTACTGAAATACAAAAGAATGCTTTAAAGACTCAATCATAATCTTTAGTTATTTGGGCTACTCAGTCAATATACACAATAAAGCATCACTGTTCCTGAAGTGAGGATGTAACTGCCCCAAAAAAATTTTACATTTAAGGATTCCTTCATCCCTGATAATTGTCATAGTCATCCTCAACTCCTGGAAGATGTGGAACTCTGTCAAGATTGTCTTTTTACAACCTAATACATTATTAATACAACTACCAGATCCAGGATTTATCAAAACATTTAAGGAGTGCCTCCGGCAAATTTCCGCGCGCGCTCACCGAAATATCGGAAAAATATGGATAGTGAGTTATATATACTGAAAAATAGCTCAACTCTTTGGCAACACAATGGTACCAGAATGAATGTTCTACGACGTTTCTACAAGAAATTACAGTCATTTATATGAGGTAAGGTGACGGTGATATTGGTAGCGAGTCTGCTCACAGCCCATATATATTTTGGAAATTTTTCCTTGTTTTTTATCGCTTTTTCTTGCATTATACTTTCTAATATAATAACTGAGTACTTGGCATCATAAAACTGAAGGCGGAGCTTATCCCTAGATTGAGCAACAGTCATTAATCATATCATAATGCGCGGAAGGGTTGCCGCGCCAGGAGAAATCACTTCATTATTACGCTTATATCAGCTTATATATCAACTCTACAGCTTATTTATCTATCAGAATTGTTCTAATATGATATAATAAACACTCTAAATAACATACAAACATGTTATATACTCTAGACTGAAAAAAATAGACCATAATATGGCGAAAGATTATCGGGAATATTTCGATAAATATTGAGTTACTGCTCTCCATGTCGTCTCCGTGTCGTATTCTTTGGTCTCTGAGTAAGAGAAAACGGTGTTTTTGAAGAGGATAACTGCACTAGAACATCAGTTTACTAAGAAATACACCCAAACAAACGCGATTTTCGCGAAAAAAAAAACTTTTTTTTTTGAGACGGTGGGCCGGCCGGCGTTCTAGGCCTATATCTCGGAAGTAACTTATTCCTCTACAGTTGCTATTTCTGCATTTATTACTTAATTAAATGGAATAATATTCACAGAAATTGTAGAATAATGGTTTCTCTAATTTTGTTAAAGGTAATTTTGGAAATATTCAAATACTTTCGGAGTTATGTGGAGTAAAGGGCAGATTTTTTGCAGTATTCCAGGAACTAAAAAAAAATTTTTTTTTTTTTATATAAAGATACGTTATTTAGAGAAAAGGCGTTGCCTAAAATTAGTTTAAGCATTGCTCTCTCGGCACCAAGTGTCCAAACAACCTTACGATGTCCCATATAGGAATGATTTTTGAGACAAGGACATTTTTCAGAAAATCAGTCTTTTTCAGTCTTTTCTCAGTTGTCGTTTGAGGTATATTTTTGATAAATATTTTCAAGAATGAGTGAAAACACTTTGTCTAGTGCACCAAAACTGGAGGAAATCGGACGGTAAACAAAAAAGCTACATTTTTTTGCCGGAGGCACTCCTTAAAGTGCCACTACAGGTAATGTGGTGCAGAAACCAGCAACAACAATTAATGAGACAGTGGAGCACCAGAGTTTTGGTACAAATTTAACATTATAGATGTACTCCATGTCAAAAAAGCATGGGATCATGTACCAAAATCAACAATAAATTCTTGTTGGAGAAATATATGGCCTAGTATAGAGAATGATTTTACAGATTTTCCTTCAGTGGAAAGCCAAGTTTAGGAAACTGTGGATCTAGCAAGGAGAGTGCCAGGTGAGGGATTTGATTTGCAGCCACATGACATCAGGGATTTGATGATATGCTGCCAGATGATATCAGTGAAGTCCTAGATGGTCATGAGGAACCAACTGTAGAGGAAATGTCACTGGAATTAAATTCCCAGCTGCGGAGAACAGAAAATGATTTAGAAACCGAGTCTGAATGACCCATGCTGACACTGCAAGAGATACGTGCATCACTGAATACAGATTGCAAACATGCATACTTGTTCAATGAAAAGGACCACAACTTGTCTCAAAGCACTGCTGTAAAGCATGCTCTGAAGCAAGCAGTTCGGCCTTATTTATACAGTAGGGCCCCACTTTATGGCGTTTAGCCTTACAGCATTCCGCTAATATGGCGATTTCAAATTACAACCAAAACTTTCTATATGCTGAGTAGTCTCAAATGCTGTGTGCCACCCACCACCCGGTTTTACATTCTCCGTGAGCACATTTCTTTATTATGTAATATTAATCACTCTTAGGCACATTAAATGACTTATTTTATGTTAATATAGGCATTTTCATTAATCCATCTATGATACTTTCTTCAAAATTATATAAGAAACACGTTACATAGCATATAAACATTTTATGTTTGTATACTATGGAGGTGTGGTAGCCAGGCAGAGAGAAAACATTACGTCTCTCCCCTAAATGCATTACGCTTTTGTTTACAATTCTCGGCATGAAGTATTCATTACTTCTCCCTTTGCTTATGATGGCATCTAAAGATAGTTGATAGAAATGGTTAAACTTGGCAAACATTGTATGTCAATAGTAATTATTATAATAAAAAAGAAGCGCTAAGCCACAAGGGCTATACAGCACTGCAGGGTAGGGAAGGAAGCGAGGGTATTGGATGGCAGAAGGGAGGAGGGATGATCAGTAGGTTACAGAAAACAGCGGGGCAGGGGACAGTACGGGGGTAGAGGGTAGCAAGAGATTGAAGAAGAAAGGGCTGAAGGTATCAGAATTTGTGAAGTCAGTTAATTGTTGTCAAAAAGTCAATGAGAGTGTCCGGATGAAAGGTGGGTTCATCAGCGAGAAGGGAAGGTAAAGAGAGAGCAGCGGAGCGAAGACGACGACGGAGGTACATTCTGCGTGCTCGTTGATAAAGTGGGCAGTCCAACAGAATGTGGCTGACTGATAATGGAGCTTGGCAATTCTCACAGAGAGGAGCAAGGCGCCTCTCCATGAGATATCCATGAGTAAGACGAGTATGGCCAATGCGAAGACGGGAGAGAGTAGTCTCCCAACCTCGACACTGGTGATAAGAAGACGGCCAGTAACCTATACTCGGTTTAATAGATTGAATTTTTGTTGCCGAGCATAGTAGACCACGTTGTTGCCAACGGGTGTGAAGGTGGGAAGATATTGCAGCAAAATAGTCCGTAAATGGAATACCTCTATATGAAACTGGTAGGTCATGTACTGCTGACCGCGCAGCAGTGTCTGCCTGTTCATTGCCCTGTACGTCAACATGACCAGGGACCCAACAAAAAACTATCTTTATGCTTGGTAAAGATGTGGCGTAGCCAAAGTTGGATACGGAGGACTAAGGGATGAGGTGTATCAAATTTCTGTATAGCCTGTAAAGCACTAAGGGAGTCTGAGACAACCACAAATGATGACACAGGCATAGATGCAATACGGATAAGTGCTGCAAGGATGGCATACAATTCAGCAGTAAAAATACTAGCCGAAGATAGTAAATGCCCTCGTACGACGCTGTCCAGAAACACTGCTGCGACTCCTACGCCGTCAGAAGACTTAGAGCCATCTGTGTACACAGCAATGGCATGAGAATGAGTGAAAGTGGTCAAGAAAAAGAGAGCGGGAAGCGACCGTAGACAGTTGGGCTTTCAAGCAAGGGAGAGAGAAAGAACAGACTCGAACAGCTGGAACTTCCCAGGGGGGTAGGGAAAAGTGAGATGCTACATGAACATAGAAAGGTGGTAATTGAAGAGAAGACAAGAGCGAATGAAGGCGAAGAGAGAAGGGACAGAGTAAACAGGGGCGGTGAACAAATAAAGAATGTCTATTAATATCAGTGACCATTCTATAAATGGAAGGAGTGCGGAGATCATGAGAGCGTACATAGCAGCGAAGGCAATGGGCATCACGGCGATCGGATAAGGATGAAACGTTCGCTTCTGCATAGAGGCTCTCGACAGGGGAAGAGCGAAAAGCACCAAGGCATAAACGTAATCCTTGGTGATGAATGGGGTTACGGCTAGAGAGAGTAGCAGGAGATGCCGCTGAATAGATCTGGTCACCATAATCAAGTTTCGATAAAATGAGGGTTTGGAATGTAGGCGAAGGAAGGTTCGACGATCAGCTCCCCATGAAAGATGAGCAAGGGTTTTAAGAAGGTTCAGCCGGCTGGGGACAAGTTGCCTTTAGAGAGGTAATATGAGGTTTCCAGGATAACCTACGGTCAAAGAGGAGGCCCAGAAACTTGACTGTATCACGTTCAGGGATACGGGAGCCATAGAGGTACAAAGGATGGTCGGAGATGACAGAGCGTCTAGTGAAAGTAAATTTTGGGGGGTTTTAGTGCTGGAAAATTAAACCCATGTGTGGTGGCCCAATTGGAAAAAACGGTCGACTGCATGCTGGAGAGAAACTGTAATGAGGTGACAGTCAGCACCTGCACAGGCAATAGTGAAGTCATCAACATAGAGTGATGACCAAATATTTGATGGAAGACTAGAGGCCAAATCATTAATAGCAAGGAGAATAAGTGTTGTGCTCAGAACACATCCCTGGGGGACACCTTCAGCTTGGATAAAGTCCGGGGGAGAGCACATTATTAACCCCAACACGGAAATGCCTGTCAGTTAAAAAGTTCTTAAGGAAGGATGGTAGATTGCCTCGAAGGCCTAAGGAGTGGGCTTGGGCTAAAATATTATACCTCCAAGTTGTGTCATAATGCCTTCTCAAGGTCAAAAAATATGGCAATAACTGAGTGGTTATTCACAAAGGCATTACGAACATACGTATCCAAGCGTAGTAAGGGGTCTATGGTAGAACGTCCCTTACGAAAGCCATATTGATGAGTGGAGAGGGCTGTTGTGTGTCTCTAAATACCCACTAAATGCCTATTTACTAGGCGTTCCATCACTTTGCAAACTGCACTAGTAAGAGCAATGGGATGATAGTGGGAGGCTTCATGTCCTGTAGTGCCTGGTTTGCGGAAAGGGAGAAC